ATCATTAACTTATCATTCAAATATATTTATTATCATAATTATTCAAATATGTAATTATTATAATTATTATTATTGTTATCATTATTAATTATAAGACTATTTCTTTTGATTATTGTATATTTGTTGTTTCCATAATTTAAAAAGTTTGGATAAAACATGAAAATCATTATATACACTTCAATCATTATATATACTTCATACATTCTATATCCTATATTCTCTATAGTATTTAGAATGATTTTCAGGTTTCATTAAAACTTTTTTACAATAAATTGTATTAACTTTTATATCACAGACATATTTTGTACTGTTTTTGATGGAAAATAGAGTGTAGTTCAACTTTTTGTTTAACATTTTATATTTGAAAAATATTATTTTTGATGCAGAGTTACTTAACTTAAAATCTTGCACATATGACATATACACCATTCTACTTAAATATATTTTTAGATGTTTAAATGATGTAAGAAAACTTTGTGATAGCTATGGTGCCAGGGTGTCTTTGAATAATGAAACAGAAATGTATCAAGTAATGTTTTTAAGTTATACTTTTATATATAATACTATATAATACTTTTTTTATAATATGTTTTTATATTTATAAAAAAAATATGTAAATTTTTTTTTAATATGAAGTTAACTACTCTGTAGTTAACTTCATATTAAAAAAGAAATTTTATAATTTTATAAAAGAAATATTAAAAATGTAAAAATATAATATGTTTTTTTATAGCTTATTAATATGTTTTTTTTATTTTGAGAAATTGATAAACTGAAAGCATGTACACAAAATAAATGTGAAAGAGTAAATATGTCTTTTTTTTTTCAGAGGTTATAGTAAAATATTTTAAATTAAGTTCATATTTTGTTGGTAACAAAAATCGTTACATGATTTCGAAAAAATGTTTAGTTTTCTCAATTAACTCAAAATAAGTTTTAAAAATGACAAAAAAAGACGTTTAAAAAACCAATATTGCACAAATATTACAGAAAACCTGAATAAAGCTACAATTCAGTTGTAAAAAAGTTGCAAATTTATCCCTACATCTACGTTTAACTACACTGTTAACGTTTTCCCAAACAATTTTGATTTAACGCAAATCTGGTAATGGAGGAAAGAAGGTTTTTCGAGATATAAAACTGTTTAACAGTTTTATGAATAATCAAATTGATTGTAAAGAGTGCAAAAAAAAATAAGGATTTTCTTATAATTTTGTTGTAAGAGTTCAAAATAAACATGTTTTTTAAGCTTTTAAATCACAAAAAGTCCCTAACCATTCTGAAATTAAAAAAAAAAAAGTAGAAACTGCTGAAAAAAAGTTTTATGACAATTATATTTCTAGAAATTTCTGAATTATTAAAGTTGATGAAATCTTTATGAAGTACGATTATCAGCAAATTCCTGGTGCTGTCTTTTATAATGCCAGATATAGAGGAAAAGCAAATAAGAAAATTAAATATGAAAAACATGATAAGTTTCTTTTAAGCCTTGATTTGGCAGGCTATTTGCAGGTATGACAAAAAATCAGCACCCGTATTTTTGATTTCTTACTTTCTGGTAAAATATATGTTAAAGAGTATTTAAAAATATGTCTTTTAACTCACATTATTGTAAACATGTGTCCTAATTTATCAAGTCATTATAGCAAACTGGCTTGGGATGATGATTTAAAATAGCAAATCCTCTTAATTACCTATAGTTCAAAATTATTGCAAAGTACTCTGGGTAATTATTAAGCGATAAATGAAAAAAAAAAATTGATGCAGAAATGTTAAAGATTTTAAAATGTCATTTAAAAAGCATCAAATAGTTTTGATTATTGTTCAGTGCACAAGCTTATGTGTACCATTTATGAAATATTTTACCAAGGGCGAGTCAATTTTGTATGTCTTAGACGAATCATAGATGTAAAAAATTACATAAAAATATTTAGAAAGTTCGTCAAAAAATGACAAAAAAATATTGTTTACATAATAAATACTTTAAACCTAGTATTTACTATTACTTAAATAAATACTTTGATAAACAAAAACCATTGTTGAAAAATGAAAATTATTTAAATGAGTAAATAAATTCAGTTAAAGCTTTTTAGTAATTTCAAAGTTTAAGTCTTTAAATTTTAAAGTCTTTAAATTTGATTTAAATCTAAACATAAGATTCTTCAATATTATATTTGGTTATCTGTTTATTAAGTTATTATTTTTTACTTACATTTCTTTTTAAGTGTCTTTTTTTTTTTTTAATTTATATAATAGAAGATAATAGAAAACAACAAGATATTTTTTATAAGAAACGATTTAAATTGTAAAACAGGTTTTACATTTACATTTATTAATACTAACTTTTATCAATAATAAAAACCAATCAAATTTTACAATTACATTTATCTGTATAAACAACCAATCAGTTTTTACATTTACTTTTATTATTATTAACATCGGATCATTTTTTACAATTACTTTTATCAATATCAAGAATCAATCATGTTTTACAATTTCTTATATCGGTATCAAAATCAGTTTTTACAAAAACTTTTGAAAAATAGTATAATAGTATAATACCATCTAAAACATAAAAAAAAAGTAGTTTTGATTCCCACTTTACTTATGAACTAAAATGGGCTGTCCATGTTGTATGGAGTGCATTGCCATGAAATTTTGAATTTACCATGAGTTTTAATTTTTATTAGGCTTGTCTAGCATATGATTTTTTATAAAAAATTTTTTTATAAAAATCATATGCTATATATTTTTTTTATTATAAAAATATATATATTAAAAATATATAGTATTATATACACATTATACATTATATTGTCTATTAAAAACTTATTTAGTTCACCTATTATATTATTTTTATTTATCAACAGTATAAATAATATCAATTGCTTAAAAAAAATATAAAACTATAAATATAAAAATTTCAATTGCATTTTGTAAATCATTTTTAAAACTAGTTTTTTATGCATGATTTTAAGTTTCAACAGGATATTTTTATCTAATGAAATTTTTTATGTTTAAAAGATTAAATACAGGCTAAACATAAGTTTTTAATTGAAAAAAAAAATTTGAAAAAAATACTTTGCATGAGCAGTCAAATACATGTTTAATTTATGAGACAAGTGCAAAAACTTGCTTTTCCAGCTATGACCTAAGTTATTATTTACAATGTAAAACAGATTTAAAAAAATCTTGTTTATTTATTATAAAATATCACAATTTTTGTTTTCACCAGACTTCATCAATTGGTTCAAAAACAAACTATTTGGGCCAAAGTGAATTAACTGCGCATTTTGGTTTGGGCAAAATAGAAGTTGACTCGCAAGTAACTGTATTTTGGCCAAGAACAAAGCAGCAAGTAACAGTTATTGGCGTACCAGTCAATACAAAATTAGATGTTATACAACCAGATGGGTAATTAAGTCAAAATTTTAAATTACTTTTTTTTTTAAATATCTTTTACTCAGTTTTTTTTGTCAAAGAAAAATATTTATTCGTAATCTTTTTAACTTTAATTTTAATAAATTGTTTTTAAATTATAATCTTTAATTTTTTATCTTAATTTTTTGTCTTTTTAAATCTTGATTGTATTTCATTTATATTTACTATTTATTTAATTATATTTAATTTTTATTGATAGATATAATTCTTAAATAATAATTTTTATTAGAAATATCAATATGACAATAATGTGGAGCGAGATTGCTGAGTGTCCATATTTGTTCATTAAATATGTTTCTCAGGTCAGTTCATTTACTTTTGATAAAGAAATGCAGTAAAGTAGTTTTTAAATTGAAAGTGGTTTTAAAAAGTACAACTCAAAAATAAAACGTTTTTGTGTTACATTTAAGCTCAATGTTCTTTTTATAATGCTATACAAACCTTGAGTTTGATAATAAAATATACTATACATTTGTATACTTACAGCCTGGTATTGGAAAAATAGTTATTAACCAAGATATGAAATCGTTAAAGTATGACCCTTCACCTTTAACATTGTTTGATGTTGGAGAGCAAACATTTAAATACACTGTTGCTGTCAAACCAGATAGTTTTAATCTGCAAAGCATGGGAATGGTAGAACTTGATATGAGGACAGTTTTAGGATACACCATTTGTAATGGTAGCTTTCCAGCAAATACATTATTTGTTAAGTCTACTTCAGAAAGGTTTTTATTTTTTACTAAACAATTTTTTTGATTTTTTGATTATTCAATAATTACAAATGCAGTTATTAGAAATAAATTATGTTATATATATATATATATATATATATATATATATATATATATATATATATATATATATATATATATATATATATATATACTCTTGCATGGTAGTCAAAAAGAGTTTCCCATAAACTGTAGTTTTAAAGAGCGCGTTAATAAACCAGATCAGAAAAAGTTTAAAAACTTAAATTTTTATTTTTTACCAAACCCTCAGTCGATGTAGCAGCACTCCCTTGCGAGTCAGGCTATTTGTCAGTCGTTGTAGCAGCACTCCCTTGCGAGTCAGGCTATTTGTCAGTCGATGTAGCAGCACTCCTTTGCGAGTCAGGCTATAAGATAGTCGATGTAGCAACATTTACGCATGTTTTAAAAATGTTTTTTAATAAAACAAAAACAAAAACACTACTAATTAAAAAAAACTTTCTAGTCGTTATTATTGCGGTTTTTTAAAAATTTTTTAAAAAACAATAAAATTTAATGTACTTCCGCATTAATTTAATTGCTTTGACATTTCGACGACAATCAAATACAGCTTAATAGACGAGGTAATTGAAATTGTAGTCGAAAGAGACTTTTTTTACATTAAAACGCTCTTTCGACTACACTATAAGGATATATATATATATATATATATATATATATATATATATATATATATATATATATATATATATATATATATATATATATATATATATATATATATATATATATATATATATATATATATATATATACTATTGTATATAATATGTATTGTATATAATA